CGTGAGCGGAGTAAACACTTCAGCAAGATGGAAGCAGCACTTCAAATGATCGAATTCGCACCGATTTTTTTGTGTTTGTGTGTGTTGTTTGTTGTTTTGTTCACGCTCGCCGCACACAAGAACGACTTTCTGTTCCGTGAAATATATCGCGCGTACGTCGCAAGATCGCGCCGCAGGGTTCACTTTCGATGTCCGTCAATTGCATGGATCACGTTGTCAATCCACTGCTGGATGAGAGGCCCTCCTACACCGAGCGGCTCGTGGGGAAGTTAATCGACCGCGCTGGGTCAGTGCCAAGGTTGGTGAGGACGAGGAGCAAAGCCGTGGAAGCACAGAGAAGTACGTTACAACAATGGATTGCGCTGCACGTCACCCTCTGTAGCAGTGGTTCTTCTTGTTAACCTGGGGTTCACGCCACTCCGTGGGAGTGCGAGATGCCCTTTCTCGGGGGGGAGGGGGGGGGGGTGCGAGACACGGCGCAGATTTTTTTTCTCTCAAAGGTAAATCATCGAAAACGCACAAATGAATCCCGGGACACGTAAGCGCAACTAACTTCGTTTCATCAAATCGATGCATTAATTAACAGTAGAAACAACACGGCCAAGCCTCCCCGTCGTGGCGCGGAGCGCAGCAAAGTGAACTCTGCCCTCGGCGGTGGCCGCTGCGATCGTTAAACGCTGCGACGGTGATCGCGTGCATCGCCCGAGACGGCGCGCTCGAGGTGAAACAGCGGAGGTGGTGGGAGCCACGGGGCAAGTGCGGCTGTGTTGAATTATAGATAGAGTCGGAGGCTCCTGCCAACTGCGGCGTCACGCGCCCAGCGAGCGCTGCAACACGCCGTGGGTACACGTGCGGCCCCCGTATCGTCAATCCACTGCTGGATGAAGGCCTCGCCCATGCCACCGGGGAAGCGTTATTTGACCATACTTCACCACGCTGGTCAGTGCGCGTTTGTGAAGGCGGAGAGGGTAGGAGTAGCAGTATAATGGGGGATTTTGATTTTGATTCACTGCTCATCATGTAACCCCGCAGCCTATAACACCACTCGTGTGTGGTGATCACGCACCCAAGCGCTATCCAGGCACAAGCTTGATTCGCTTTCCGAAAGCAGACAAGATCGTGCGCATTCTGGGTGGTGTGGTCACAGGCGGGGATTCATTCCAGAGGGGGTCCGCGTCCCGATCAGCCGAACCGTGTGATGTGTCTGCAAAGCGGCACACCACATCCAGTATTTACCTCTCGCTATAGCCGTGGCTATTTCGTCACGCGCCTTCCTGCAGTCCAAACTCGGAACATAATAATCAGTGTGAGATTCATCCCTGGTCACAGGCATTCGGTTTGCTTGAAGGTAAAGGCGCGGCCCTGCAATTTCTCGCCAATGCTGGCGGGGAAGGACCCTCCACTTGAGGCAACGCTCGAAAGCCCCCTAGAAAGGGTATACTTTCTTTGGCCTACTCTTCTACGCTGGCCAGACCTCGTGTAAAAGGTGGGCCGGTGTACCCACACTTCACCACCCCGCACACGCGACCTTGCCCATCGAACGTGGCCAACACAATGAAGTACTTTGGGGGTGGTGCATAGAGGCAGGGCGCCACTTTGCAAAACATGGCCAGGGGGAAAAAATATCATCGCTTATGAATAATTAACGACACTGACACTTCCGCTCTCGGTTACAATCAACGCCGAGGTTAAACTCATCCCGCATTTGACCGAAGCAGCTCCAAATGCGCCGTCCCAACGTGGTCGGGCAACTTAGCAAAAAAAATGCAACTGGCCGCCAAGCAGCAGATGTAATCTGCCGGCTTATCGCACGAGACAGCAAGGGCACTCCGCGTTTCTATTTTGAGGTTCACAACACAGATATAGGGTCTGGGGTTCCCGGAGAATCCCGGCTTCGTGACAGGGGTGATCGATGCCCTTCCAAGCACCGCGAGACACCAAATACGTGGAACTGCCCGGTTTTTTTTTTTTGCTTAACGTGCAAAAGCGAAATTTAACCCGTCAATCCATCGTTTTTCATAAAGCCAACGGGGGAATTGAGACCTCATGGATTTTTTCCCTTCTTCCATAATCATCATAGTCCAGCCAGCTTACGGTTTTTTGTTGTATTGTGACGCAAGCTAGCCTGATATAGTATTACTATTTTTAGTCTTGGTTCTTTTGGTAAAGTCACGTAGAAGGGAAATAATAAAATAATAAAAATAAAACATAATAAAAAGATATTCTCACGACGTTTCGGCCACAACGCAAGCAGCCGTCCTCAGGTGAAGAAATAGAGCTGTCGGAAAGACAGCTGTCTTTGAGAATTTCATTTTGTTATGTTTTATTTATTGTATTATTTCCCTTCTACGTGACTTTACCGAAAGAACCAAGAATATGAATCCCTGCAGTCACGAAAGCTTTAAATCGAAAAATATTATTACGACTTAAAAAAAGCCTTTCCAATCCTCAATGGGAATTTTAATCATTCATGATCATGACAATAATTGTGGTGATGATGATGATTCTGCTCTGCTGTTCCTATTACTGATAAGGATGATGTTACATATTTGGATACTGCTGCTACTGACGATGATGACGATGATGACTGCAATAGCAATAATGATGATGATTCTGCTGCTACTGCTGCTACTGATGGTGAAGATGATGACATAGATCCCTAACGACTGTGACTTAAACATTAACCATCGCGTGCTTTCAGTGCACAACTCAGGGTTCATTAGCGCAGGTCGTTAAAATCAATGTCAGCTGCCAGTGGGAAATCAAACAAAATAACAAACTACGGCCTAATGCAGCCCCATATTTCACGCGGAAATGAAAATTCACCGCGACTATATTCCCCGTCCGTTAAAATAACATTTCGGTATACCTCGGACCCATTACGCGGAGCCCTCGTCAGGAACTTGACCACCCCAGATTTGTTGTGCCCGCTTCGCAATTCCACACCGCCGCGCCTCGCAAGCGGGCATTTCCCACCACCGCTCACGAGCGCCGCGCGAGACAGAGAGACAGAGAGAGAGACAGAGAGAAAGACGGAGAGAGAAACAGGGAGACACACACACACACAGAGACAGAGATAGTTAGAGATAGACAGAAAGAGAGATACAGAGAGAGACAGAGAGACAGAGAGAGAGAGACACACACACAGAGGGACAGTTATAGAGAGACAGAGCGCGAGAGTGAGCGAGAGAGTGAGCGAGAGGTGGGGGTTTACATAAAGCAAAGGTATTAAAAAATGTTTACGAAATGATGAACGAAGCAAAGTGCCGACTACACCGAGCATCTTTCTTGTTTCAACTGATCGTAAAAAAAGAGACACAGAGAGACACACAGAGAGAGTGAGAGTTAGAGATAGACAGAGAGAGACACACAGAGAGACACACAGAGAGACACACAGAGAAAGACAGAGAGAAACAGAGACAGAGAGAGACGGTGGCCATCCGTCTGCTCCCCCCCCCCCACCGCCACCGAGAGAGCTGGCGCGTGGCGTTCGTCGTTTGCTACTGCCCCCCCCCACCCCCATTAACCTCCGGTGCGAGTCGGGCAATTCCGTCCGGGCTTCTCAATAATCCATCACGACTAACGAAGGGGGAGGGAACATCGAGCCGACTGTCATGTCCCCCCCCCCACACATTATGATGATGTTGTTGATGCTGCCAGACCCAAAAGAGATTATAATTATTTTTCGTATTACACTGGACTTTGCAGGCAACCAAAAACTCACTAATTGACAAAACGATTATGTATTACCAACATAAATTTATCAATTAGCAACCCAGCTCCCACAGGTGCAGCAAAACCCACGCAGATCTCACGAACTGCTTGATCGAAACCAAATAAGTGGCCAATAATGAACTACGGCAGTGAGTTATTTTCAAGGACCCACGTCGCATTGCCAGTACAGCACGACAGTGAGATGTGTCAGCCCTTCTCACAAGATCGGTGCCTTCTCGTTCAGGAATGATTAAATGGAATATAATGTTTCGACGGGGAAGACAGCAAATTAAGTGCGTAAGCCATTCCAATAATTGTATGCAATTTGGAGGACCAAATGCAACGTTTTTGAGTGAATATCATGGACAGATCACCGACGTCTTTGTGAAAGCACATGGCAAACAGATTCTAATTATTCTAATTGAGCAATTACTCAAATCAAGAGATGTACCCCAGGCGCAATTGTCATGTTTTAATACGCAGCGTGACAAAATAAGTAAAGATTCGCTAGCCACGAGCGCTGTCTCTTGTTGGGCATGTTCTTCCCACGGGGAACCCCCAATGTAATGAATTTGTCCTGCCCCATTGCACGAGCTGGGAAGCACGGAGCGACAGAGCCGCGCGCGAATATTTAACAAAGCTGAGCGATCGAAACGTCGTGATGTATAATTTTTTGTTTTATTTTTCTACCTACGTGACTTTACCGAAAGAACCAAAGAATAAGTGGGAGAGTCTTTGACTTTTTCAAGCTATTAACAAACATTTGTTATCATGTTACCGTGTCTTATCGGTTCCTTTTCAATTAAAAACGATAGTCCCATCTAAGTGTTCACATTCTTTTTTTGAAGCACCCTGCATTTGTATTCTTCTTCCCGTGACGGCGTCCCTGGACATTTGTACCGCAGCGGTGGCAATGCTCGTCCGGCGACGTTGGAACACAAAGTGCCGCTGTTAATCGCCGTGACATCCTTGCAGGGACGTGCGTTTGTTTTGTTTCTCACTCCCCTCCCCAGCCCCACCTTTTTCGAGGTGCGCAGATACATTAATCGCTGCGGTGATTCATCAGCTCCGCCACGCTGAGAAGAGGAGGCACACGTGGGTTTTTTTTATTTCTGTAGACGGAGCCACTTAGAGCACCCCCAGCCCTCCCCCCACTACCGTGTGCTTCACTGGCAGAAGAAGAAGATGATGATGATGATGAAGTCCGCGCACCGAGCCGGATTGGTGCTCGCACAGCCAATGACGACTCCCCGCGGGTGACTGGCCCCAGGGTTTGGATTATATATCGCGAGGAGGGTTTGGCGGAGAGGAGCTGTCAGAGCGTCGCCCTTGGTGCGGGAGGAACGCGCAAAGAGGCGCTGCCGGCGGCCACGAACGCTCCCACGCTCATCAAGCCATCACCTCTCGGGGTCAAGTGGACCGAGTCCCCGGGTCTTCTAGCGAATCTCGTCACTTCATGTTCTCGGCAGATCAGCGGCTGCAGGAACTTACTTTGGGATTTATTTTTGTTCATTTTTTTTTTGGGACAAAAAAAGCGTGCGGCAGCTGGCGGTGATTTATCGCGCGGCGGCTTTTTAGTCTCCTTGGGCTTTAACATTTAAATACGCGACTCGGCTCACTGCGGCGCGAAGTGGCGAGCTCTCATTGCCGTTCGGAGTCGCGACGAGCAGTGGGAACGACTCGTCTTGCCGGGCCCGTGAAGACTGCCAACGTCTCTAAGAGAACAAAATCACAACTCTGCCAGGTAAGACACGTGACACGAGCTTCAAACTCTGTCTGCAAGGAGTTATTTTTTTTTTGCAGAAATCTTCTCGCAGCGGGTTTAATGTTACCACGGTGAATAAAGAATAGAAATAATTCCCAGCTAACGCAAGTTGTTGCCAAGATGCTGCAGAAGGATACTTAGAGGTCAGTAATGTGATCTGCGATCGAGACTGAAGAAATGTAATGCGACCAAATTCCCCGGTGTCTCTCCAAACGCAGCCTTCAATTCGTTCGGCCAAACATTGCAGATACCGCAATTCGGCAACAGTGCAGAGCGAACAGCAGCCGGGCGCGCCTGTGTTCTTGGGTCTCCGCAAGTAACTCCATCGTCACGGACACAACAAATGTCGCGCAAAGGACAATGAAGACGCAAACTGGAAGCATCTTAGGCGAGCGGTCGCCACCGCCGCAGCCGCCGCTGCTGCTGTGGCTGCTGGCGCTGCTGCCGTTCAGCTCCGGGCACCGACATCCACCGCTCTGGGCAGGCGAACACGCGGACCTGTGCGCCATCAGGGGGGACTGCGTGTGCGCCGGCGAGATCGTCGACTGTAGCGGCGCGAACCTTTCCTCGCTGCTGCCGCTCTCGGCGCCGGACTACGCATCCGTCCTCGACCTGAGCCGCGGTCACTTCCCCGCCGTGTCGCGAGGCTGGCTGAGCGGGGCCCGGCGACTGCGCTCGCTCTCGCTGCGCCACTGCGGCGTCCGCAACGTCTCCGCGTCCGCCTTCGACGGCCTGAGCCGCCTCGCGCGCCTCGACCTGTCGTCCAACCGGCTGCGCACCGTGAGTCGCGCCGCGCTCGCGGGCCTCGCCTCCCTCGAGGAGCTGCTGCTCTACAACAACCGCATCGCCGAAGTGGAAGCGCTCGCGTTCGCGGACGCGCGCTCCCTGCGCCGCGTGCTGCTCGCGCGCAACGCCCTCGACGCGTTCCCCGCGGACGCGTGGCCGTCCGGAGCGCTGGCGCGCGTGCACCTGCTCGACCTCTCCTACAACCGCATCGAGGAGGTGCCCGTGGCGCGCGTCGGCTCGCTGCCCGCCGCGCTGCGCCAGAGCCTCCTGCTGCACGGCAACCCGCTGCGCTGCTCGTGCGCGCTCTACCTCATGCTCATGAGCTGGATGAGGCACGAGCTCACGTCCGTCCGGAGGCACCATCGCGAGCTCACGTGCCGCCTGCCCCACGCGCGAGAGCCCATTCGGCTCTTCCAGGTGACGATGGCGAGGGTTGGGGGGGGGCGGTGGGAGCAAGGAGAGGGGGGGGGGTTAAACGTGCAGCTACGCGGTCCCGTGTCTTGAGGGTCGGACGGTGCATTCTGAGATCCAGACAATGCATCTTGAGATTTGGACTCGACGATACCGAACTTTTATGTTTTTAAACCCCCGTCGTACTTTCACGCGTCTCGATGCATCCATTTAATTTCCTAGTTATAGAACATATACCGACGGAATATTAAATATTTATGTCCGCATAAGGCACGCTTGGGATGGAGCGGCGTCGCAGTTATTAGCGCAGCACGCTGCAGATCCGAGGTCGCCGTGGGGTCGCCACTCTACAGAGCGTCGAGCAACAATGATAGACATCGTGTCGACCGCTTAGCAAAGTATCGTCACATCGTGAGTATCTTTAGCCATTTAATTGTCGTATTAAAATATATATTCTATCTTGATTTGAAGCTTTCGTGACTGCACGAATTCAAACTCTTTGGTTCTTTCGGTAAAGTCATCACGAAGGTAGAAAAATTAAATAATAATAATTATAGATTTGAAGTTTTCGTGACTGCAAGGGTCCATACTCTTTGTTTTTTTCGGTAAAGTCACTTGATACGGTCATTTTGCTGTGACGTTTTCCACCTGAAGACGGAAGCTTGTGTTGCCTCCGAAACGTCGTGATTTAATCTATTTTTATTTTATTTCCTTTTTTTACCTAAGTTACTTTACCGAAATAATAAATCACGACGTTTCGATCGCAACACAAGCGGTCGTCCTCAGGCGGACAAAATAATCCAGCAGTGGAACTGCTGAACCAGGAGGAACACAGCGAGAGAGCTGTTACACTGTCGAAATCAATTGTCTACGAAAATAACAATGAGCGATTTACCCGTGAGCCCATGCGGCTCTTGCCCCAGTGATGAAGCCGGTTGGGTGGGTTTGGCCGTGGAAGTTAGTTGGCGATGTTACAGAGTGAGTCCTGAAAGTAGTAGTAGTCATGATGTCAACTTTCACCGTGCCGCACGAGTCAGAGGGACGAGGAACCACAGTCAGTAAGGCAGCAGCCAGGCGGTGAGCAGGAACCAAATTACACCACCACCTGCCCACCTTCCCACCAAAAGCTCTGCGGTCCTCTACGTATTAAGGTGCTTTTAGTCAATTCTTGAGCATGGGGATCCACGTACTCAGTGATTGAATCCATACATTGGCAATGATGGTTCCAGATTTCGTGTTGAGTTTGTCTCGCAGATCGCGTCCAGGTTAGAGTTGTGCACAGATGGTCCCTTGAGTAGAACCAAATATACGATGAAGAGACGTACGCCATTCGCGAGTAGCTGAACGACGCGCACATTTGCTCCGTTGCTACTTCGTCAAGACAGACTCCGAGTCTCAGGATAAATGCATGGAATCGAGCATCTGACAATCTTTGTTTGATGTATGTCCAGTACGTATGTACAGTACGTTGTATACAATGGGTTTTCATAACCCCTGCAGGCACTGCCAATCACCAACTTTTATTTTATTTAAACATTGATTCTGGAATCGTATCGTGACACTGAATTGCAACAAATAATTGAATTGCTCTGAGTGGTGGGTGGGGGCGGGTGGCGGAGGGGTGACAGTGGGCAGGGGCACTGAGGGGGGGGGGGTGACGGTGGGCAGGGGGCACTGATGGGGGCGGGGGTGACGGTGGGTAGGGAGCACTGATGGGATGGGGGGGGTGGTGACAGTGGGCAGGGGGCTCTGATGGGGGGGGGGCTAGCACGATAAATACGTTGCGAGACTGCGCCTCTAGAGTTGCTTGTTCACAGCAGTCGCACGTCCCAGGCCGAGTGAATGGGGGTACCGCTTTGCCTTTTTTCCGATCTTGGCCCTTTCTCGACAACTAAATCACGCAATTTATTTCGTGTCGAGTCGGGAAGCTGAGCCAGCACGTGGGAAAAAAAAGGGTTGCGGATTAGCAAATCCTTCTGACAAAAACGCGGCCGAAATTTTGCACCGCACGAAATTGCCTCCTCGGATTGGGAGCGGCGTTTTATTTCTTTTTTCCCTCTCGGGCATCACAAATTCTCCGTGGGCTTCATCTCTGCGCGCGGTCGCCTCCCCGTGGTACCATCTCTCAGTCAGTGACAACTTCCACTCACCGACCGGAGGAAGCCAGGCAACAGCAGCAGCCGCAGCAGCAGCGACTCCTGCCAGCTCAATATTTGGGATCTCCCTCGACTTGGGAATGTAACGGAGGCCACTCGCGGCAGGACAAGACGCAAACCACGTGCCCGTGCCACGAGTCAAACATGAAGTAGTGCCCAGACTACGCCACCTAAACACGCGATGGGCAGCACTCATCGCTGTCGGTGTTCCTGAGCCAAGAGTGGAAATTCCACATTCCTTTTGGCCAGTCTTTTTGTTAAACCCCTGCTAATGTTCTTTGCTCATAAGCCATGAAGTTGAACTTTATTGAATGGCTCCTTAGGGAGCAAAAGCAGCAGAGGGCCGTGCAGCAATATCCATTGTTGTTTTGTACTATGCCCACAAGTCTATGCCCCCTCACCTTCACAAAGCTGCATTTACCAGCGTCGTGAAGTATGGTCAAATAGCCCCACGAGCCCCGTGGCGTGGGTAGGCCCTCGTCGGGCAGTTGATTGACCAATGGGCCGCACATGTCCACGTGGGGAGTGGAATGTTCTAGTCACAGTGACACTTGACCAGGTAGTTATCTGCAAGTCAAAGCAAAGCTATCGATTCACTCTGCTCGAGTAAGCGCCAGTCCTCCACCACGCCTTTCACAACCTGCACTCACCGGCATGGCTAAAGTGCAGCCGTACAATCACACGTTTGTAAAACATGTACCAAAGTGCAGCCGTACAACCACACGTGTATAAAACAACTACTGCATTAAAATAACTCAGGCCCTTGTGCATTATGTAAAAAAACAATTAGCAGTTCCTGAATTATAATTATATTTTATACAGCACTTCTCATCAAGGATCTCAAAGCGCTGTACAGGACACAGCATCAGACACTCCGCGTTAAAATAATCCTGTTATAAATACATTTAAAAAATACATTTACAAAATACGTGCATTGTGGTCCCCTTGTCTCCTGAGGTCACCATCGAAATAAATTGGAGAAACATTTTGACGGACTGACAAGGCAACAGTTGACGATGCCCGAACAATAAAGAGAGAGGACCCACAATGCACCCCTTCAGGCACTGCTGATGATGTTGTTTTTGTTCATAATGCACAAAAAGGGCCGAGTGCTTTCCGTGCACCTTGCTCTGTGTTCTTTGAGACGTCGGGTTTTTTTTGTCCGTAATGATGGGTTTTTCATCTCACCCACGAACCCTGCACGGCACGGAAAAGCCCCCCCCCCCCCATTGACCCCCCCTACCCCCCACATTGACCCCCTCCCCCTTCCCTGGGTTGGGGGTCTCTGCGCTCCTGCACAGGTGCAGGAGGACCTCATGGGCTGCAGCCCCAACGCGTCGCTCCTCGTGAAGACCAGGTCGGAGTACAGCGCCAACGTGGGCGACACGCTGCTGCTGCAGTGCGACTCGCGCCTCGCCCTTGAGCCCAGCACCACCTTCGCGTGGCTCGACAAGGGCGGCGTGCGCCACGTGCACCCGCACCCTCGCCGCCTCGACAACGGCAGCTCGCCGCTCTACGTGCACGCCAACGGCTCGCTCGAGATCCGCGACTTCAACGCGAAGCTGGAGGGCACGTACGCGTGCCAGGCTCTCAACCTGGCGCTGGAGCTCAACGAGACCCTGTGGGTGAACGTGACGGTGGCGCCGCCCGCGGAGCCCTTCAACACCGCCTTCACCACCCTCATCGCCTCCTCCGCCATCCTCTTCGTCGTTCTCGTCTACCTCTTCCTGCCTCCGTGCGACTGCCACTGCCGCAGCCGGCGTTGCGGCGGCGGCCGCTGCGGCCGCTGCTGCTGCTGCTGCCGCTACGTGGGGGTGTCCGGGTGTCAGGCGGAAGACGCGGCGATGAGCATGCGCGACTCGCAGGCGTCCATCCTGAGCAACGCCACCATGTCACCACCGACGCCGCCGCAGCAGCAGCTACAGATGCAGCAGCAGCAGAAGCACCACCACCAGCAGCTGGTGGGGGAGGAGAATGGAGCCGGGCAGCAGCTCAGGCGCAAGCTGAGCGGCGTCAAGCGAGTGTCGATCATGGAGCCCGAGGGGCAGGGCGCCCACAACGGGCGCGCGTGCGCGCTGCCGAGCGACGACTTCCACGAGGAGCACCTCCTCAAGATCCTCAAGATGAAGTCGGACTCGGAGTCCAACTGCTCCGTCTACTCCGACACGCCGATCGTGTCGTTGTGAGGGCCGCAGATGGGAGGGGGGGCTCAGGGGGGGCTCGGGGGGGGCTCCCTCACCCCCCAAGGGGGGGGTGGGGTGGTCAGCAAGTTCCATCGCCACTCGCGAGGACGCTTCAGGCTGCAAGGCGGACGTGTTCACGTGCGGGGTGAGCTCACCCTGAGGTTCACGTGTGGGGTGAGGTCACCCTGAGGTTCACGAGCGGGGTGAGGTCACCCTGACGTTCACGTGCGGGTGAGGTCACCCTGAGGTTCACGTGCGGGTGAGGTCACCCTGAGGTTCACGTGTGGGGTGAGGTCACCCTGAGGTTCACGAGCGGGGTGAGGTCACCCTGAGGTTCACGAGCGGGGTGAGGTCACCCTGAGGTTCACGAGCGGGGTGAGGTCACCCTGACGTTCACGTGCGGGTGAGGTCACCCTGAGGTTCACGTGCGGGTGAGGTCACCCTGAGGTTCACGTGCGGGCGAGGTCACCCTGAGGTTCACGTGCGGGGTGAAGTCACCCTGACGTTCATGAGTGGATGAGGTCACCCGACGTTTAATTCGCAGAGGTCGACAGCAGCGTGCGTCACGTGGCAGGCGTGCGCGTGCGCGCTGTCGTACGATGGCGAGAAAACAAGTTTTGCTGGCTGGCTTGCTGGCGCGCGGGGCAGACAAGTGTGTGCGGTGGTGACGTCATGCCGCTTCCCCCCCACCCCCCCGGCTATCAACCCTCCACCCCACGTGTATTCCCGCGCAAATGCATGGGCAGTGCGAATCAGAAATTTTAATGGTTTGGATTCGGAAGCATTCGGGGGGTTCAGAGGTCAGAGCACGTCGCTGGCACCGTTGGTATCCTGAGTTCAAATCAAATCTCTCAGCCTCTGCCCGATCACCAACGGCTGCTCATGACAAAAGCATCACATTTGGCTTTGCACTTCATTCCACCAAAGTTCCAGCTCTGAGAATCGTGAACTAAAAACTCTGGCTTGGCTGTCATGCTGCCATGTGACAACATTTACTCTGCGTAGCAATGTGGGTTGGGAAAGTGCTGCCACCATCCCCCCTCCCCCCTCCCCCCCGAGTATGGATAAGAGGTCACGTGAAGAGATTTCAGAAGCGACTCTGCGATGTCTCCTTCTGCGGACCGCTCCCCAACGCTCAGCGGTGATGTCCTGGCTCTCCGAGACTTGAGAATGGATGTTTCATTTCCTGACAAGAGGCTCCGAAGGCGCAATTTGGGGATGCCATTGGGAGACGTTGAGCAAAAATGTCTCCGAATAATTTAAATTCAGAAGTAAAAAATTACGACAGCTCTCACCAACTAGGCCACTGTCCTGAAGTCCGATTTGGGTTGTTTTTGTCTGACGAGCCCCACTCTTCGCACACAGCATGCCGGCACGGGCTGCAAAAATGCAGATTATTCACCTTGAGTTCTTCACTTTACCGATGCGAAGACGATGGGGAAATAAAAACCAGGGTCACGAGAATGCAAATGAACTGTTTTGTATTTCACTCTCAAGGGTTCAATTTGAATCCGAGCTCAGCCCTAAATGAAATGCAGCCAAGGCGGGACGTTGGCAAAAATCAACGCCGCTGTTTGAGTGTTTAATCCCACTTGAGACTCAGCTTGAGACATCCTTAACAAGGATGGAATGATGAGAGGTTGGGACCAAATTTCAATTCTGCATCCGGTTTGTAAATCGTGTGCTACTCTGAAGGCATGAAATGGGTTTTATTCAAAACGTAAAGTGCTTCAGAGGCGAACGTAAACGATGTTCCCGGAACACGACGGCAATCAAATGAGCTCATACCAACCACCGCCGCACCAGTGGGAGAGACACATTTCTACTCGTCCGCGTGAAATTCCGCAATTTTTGCTGAACATCTCTCAATCGGCGTCGTTATTTGAACATCTCTCCCCGTCAAATTTTGACGACGTCGATTCAGTTTGTGCCTGCATGAGATCGGGGGGGGGGGGGACCCACCAAAAAACCTGACGAATTATTTGGTGATGAATTTCGTATTTTTTGTTACCTGCTATGAAGAAGGGCCAATGCTCAAAATGTCACCTTGTTGTATAATGCGTTTTTTTATTTTATTTAAGGCCACGCGGTGTCACTGACGAATTTGTTGAGTTTGGTTTTGATTTTGGTTTGTTAAGCTGAGACCGTGGCATTGAGCACACGCACGCCGCCCATCTCGACGTGAACCCAGATCTGCCCTCTGACGCCCACCACTCGCGATCACGGCGTTTGAACGCAAAGCACAATGCAGAAGGTTACACGCGGGAAGATGCAACACGACGCTATTTATACAAAGTCAAGACGTAGGCTTTCGCAGCCAAGGACCATGATTCATAGTTAACCGGGGGTCGTCATTACGTGCCCTAACCAGAAAATCAACTGTGAATCAGAGGATAACCTTGCTTATAATTCAAACTGAACAAATAAAACATCTGCAAGTCAGCCGATGGCTTTCTAGCTTCCTAAACTGCATCGGCACACGAACAACGGCAGCAAGCGGCATATGCGGCGCATACTTGGTGATGCACAAATAGAATACTAAAACACTAAAACACTCTCCCGCAGTGCGTGGGGAACTGTGGTCGCTCAGAGCGGACCACGAAACATGGAACGACTCAGCGCCCGAGTCGCGTATATACGAAGGAGGCATCATCATCATCATCACAGCGGTACATTCCGCGACTCTTGACGCGGGTATCTGGGCTGAACCACGTGAATGTAATGATCACAGTTGGTGCTCTACATCAACGTCAGTCCATTCGAGGAAGAAGCGACTTCAACGTATCTCGGTTTGTTTGTTTTAAACGGCAAGGGTCCCGGACCTCTGTCTCCCTGCACAATCTTCCTTAAACCCTTGGAGAGAAAAACCCCGTGATTGAAGAAACGCCTGCATTTGTCACGACGCCTTTGCCGGCAAACGTGGGCCGTGGGTGTAAAATGGAAATAGCCTCGTGCTTTTGGGCCGTGGTCGTGCAGCTGCACCGCCTGCACGATCGAGAGCTGAGTCACTGATCCCAGTTGCATGTGCCGCTGTCACACCACGTGATCCCCCCCCCCCCACCCTCTTTCCCAAGCGGGACACAGTGAAATGTCACTGCGCTCAGAAGAAAACTAATAAAAAAACTTTACCTTGGGGAGTCAGTCAAGCTGCTCCGTGAAGGAGGGAAAGGAATTAGCAGCAGCACACATTGGTGATTGTTCAATAATCATGAACCACGTAAAATGTGAAAATATGAAATCAAATTAGCTACATTTTTTATGGCAGTTTCCCAGCCGGTTAAACTATCGTACGGTATTAAAACAAAAAAAAAATTCTGTGAAAACCTTCAGCATGCAAATTTACTCCTGTAAGGTTATGAATTTCAAAAACTAAAATAGAAACATTATTCTGCTAAAAGCATCATCGCTCATGGTGTAATGTGTAATCTCAAGGTTACACGGTGATAAATATTGTAAAAAATAAATCAAGCATATTCTGTATAAAGATATATATATATAAATTTTATATCTTACTGTTATATTATACATATGAAGATGTCATGGGTCTTACTATATCCTGTATATGAATGATTTTGCAAGTTACCACTGTCATATGAATGCAAATGAAAGTGCATAAAAAATTAAACGGAATAATTTTACTGGCGCGACTGTTCACGCAAATGCTTGCTTATGTTTTCATTGCCAAACGTGCGTCAGTGACATTTATGGGGGCGAAACGTACAAATGTCGACGTCGCAATGTTGGGTTTGCGGTTGTTTGGAGAGAGAGAAATCCTCCAGGAGTGTCCGAGTGAGTCAGAGGTCAGAGGACCGAGCTGGCAACGTGGAGATCCTGGGTTCGAATCTCGGCAGCCGCCCGGGATGGAACTGGCTCTCAGGTGTAGCGAGCTGATGTTCTCAGCTCCGTCACAAATTACTCATTCGGCTGAAGTCCGGCTGTAAGAATGAAACATTGGTTTCACCGTCATGTCAAACCTAGCACGCCACGCTGGTGGGATGTTAACTACCCTGACTGGTATGCAGGAGGTCGTGGGTTCAATTCCAACCCTGACACCTGCTGTATTTTTGCAGTTTGCGTGTTCTCCCCGTGGTCGCGTGGATTTTTCTCCTGGTCCTCCGGTTTTTGCCCCCCACATTTAGAATCACGCTTCTAGAGTATTTGGCTGCTATACACTTCCACGTGATAAGCCACTTTGTTGAGCTATCATTTGTGGTCAGATCGCTTCTGAAAAAAGAGTTACATAGCTCAGTGGGCCTTCTTACCTTGTCAAATAAAAAATAGTTTTAATAATAATTCGATGTGACGAATGTCAATCTCTATTTGCAGTGGGTGGGAAAGTGCTGCCCTCTTCTGTGTGGGCCAGAGGTCACGAGAAGGAATCTCAGACGTAGCTCTGTGATGTCCGGTTCCGTGGGCCGTAATCGAGCACGAAGGGTTGTAGTGGCATGTGAGAGATCCGAATGTATTGTTAATCTCGTGACAAAATGCTAATATCTTCTTGGTTCTTTCGGTGAAGTCACGTAGAAGGGAAATAATAAAATAATAAAAATAAAACATAATAAAATAATTCTCACGACGTTTCGGCCACAATGCAAGCAGCCATCCTCAGGTGAAGAACAGGTCTGTCGGGACGCTGTCTTCTCGACAGAGCTGTTCTTCACCTGAGGGTGGATGCTAGCGTTGTGGCCGAAACGTCGTGAGAATTATTTTATGATGTTTTATTTTTATTATTTTATTATTTCCCTTCTACGTGACTTTACCGAAAGAACCAAGAAGATGAATCCCTGCGGTCACGAAAGCTTTAAATCGAAAGAGTCTAATAGCACAATAGGGATCAAATAAAGGCAAGCTTACACACACACAACATCTCCCTTCCTCCAAATACTTTTAACCTGCAATCACTCATTATTTGTGTGTATTCTAGATGTGAAGCTTTCGTGACTGCAAGGATTCATACTCTTAGGTTTTTTCGGTAAAGTCACGTAGGTAACTTTACTTGATACAGTAAATTTAGCTGTGACGGTCCCACCTGATGACGGAGACTTGTGTTGCCTCCGAAACGTCGTGATTTATTATTTTATTTATATTATTATTTCTATTATTTTTATTATTTATTTCTATTTTTACCTACGTGACTTTACCGAAAAAAACCTAAGAGTATATTTGTTTGTACTTTATTGATAAACGCCACAGCCACGGCCTTACACCCGACCTCTAATCTACGACTTCCCAAACTCTGTTCTTCACGTCCTTACCACAGTCCACCCCGCGCATGATTACCAATCTTCTCCGTCGACAAACACGACATCAAGTCGTGACCCAGCTTGCGTGCCTGACGATCGCTAAACAACAGCCCAGCGTGGCGCGGAGATTGCCGAATCCATTACACGTGTCCCACGCGATGCAGAGGCGTGATAATCCACACAAAGAAAGCGAGCGAGCGAGCGGCATTGTGTGTGTCTGCGTGCGCACGTGTGAGTCACACGTCGCAGCAGTGGGGAGCGGTGGTGCAGTGGTTAGCGCTACGCTGCACTACGAACCCGGTGACCCGAGTTCGATTCCCGCTCACGGCCAACACCCAGTGGCGACTATGAAAAGTAAGAGTAGAATTACACCATTAGAACCTCATTTGCCAGTAGCAAAATATGATAATTGTTTTTTTATTCTTTTATCAGGCAAGAAAACTGACACCTTTTTTTAAATAAATAAAATAATAATAATAAAAGGTGTCAGTTTTGTTACCAGATAAAAGGGTAAAACAAACTATTATCATATTTTGCTGCTGGCAAATGAGGTACCAATGGTGTAAATGCTTACCCCGAGCGCTCATACTCTGATGGTGCATTGTCCTTGAGTTGTGCGCCTTTTGGCGTCATCTGGTCCAACACCATGTGAGACCAGGCTCTCAAGAAAGCTGTCTCGGGTGTGGACCAATCAATTTCAAGGACAGTGCATACATTATCAGAGTTGTGTTTTTTTGTTTGCATTCCGACTGCAGGTATTGTGGTCAATGCAAACATGACTCCTTGTAAAAAAAAGGTGTCAGTTTTGTTGCCAGATAAAAGGGTAAAAAAACAATTATCAAGTAAGAGTAGGTTTGACCTTTTCCGGCACCAAAACAGTTGGTGTTAAGGTGTTCAAACACAAAATAGAGAGACCTTTTGCAAGGAATCAATTCAGCATTCACCACACGTGCAAACAAAAAAACATGCTCCGGTAATTATAAGAGATGCGTTTCCTTTGAAACTGATTGTCCTACGCCAGAGACAGCCCTCTTCATGGCCTCGTCTCACCGGTGTCAGACGAGAGAACAACGCCAAAAGGAGCAGTGACGATTATCTGAACCCTTTCCTAGGCCTTTCTCCCAGTCGACTCAGCCTCAAGCGAGTACCTGGTGCGGTGTGTAAACATCGCCATTGGGGGAGACAAAGGCGGTCGTGCGTGGTGCCGGCCACCCACTTCCTCGTGTGCCGTGCCGACCTTCATAGGACCTGCGAATCGCTAACAGCACTTGTCCCAACAGTCTGTTAAGGCTACACGGGGGATCTTTGTCTTCGTCACGCAGCACTTAGAGAGCGCACATTGCGAGAGATCGGGGCTTTTATTCTGAAGACATCTGGGAAAAACAAAGAGGCGGTTTTGGCTGCTGCAGCTCCTTACGAATAAAATTTCCCTCCCTTTATTACTGCTAATCCTACTTCCTCCCTTTATTACTGCTAATCCTACATAATACACGAGCATAATATGACTTTGAGACCCCCCCCCCCCACCACCTACACAAGTGGTGACTAATCCCATATCTGCATTTCCCATAAACATGCTCAATTCCTCTGCTGATATGCAAATCCCTTTGTCAAGGCGCCCTCCTCCTCTAACCCAGCAGCTTAAATATACGCTGCCAAGCCTGGTGGTGTTCATTCGGACGCTGTCTTTCCTACAGCCCTGTTCTTCACCTGAGGACGGCTGCTTGCGTTGTGGCCGAAACGTCGTGAGAATTTTAATTTATTATGTTTTATTTTTATTATTTTATTATTTCCCTTCTACGTGACTTTACCGAAAGAACCAAGAAGAAAAAAAACAAAGAGCTTTATAGCTCATCGGATTTCCCCACTATAAATACATTTTCTGATTTGTTTTTGGGTAGGAGGGGGTAGAGGGGGAGTGGATAGGGGGGTAACCAACACGGGTCTGCAGCCCCAAAAGCTTCTGCGTGAATCCGGCTACCCCATCGTGCGCACGCACGCGGTTTTTTTTCTCTCGCGAGGGTTGTCGTCAAGTCAGCAAGCAAAGTCTGCCGACAATAAAAAAAATCCTTGGTGCAGTGCAGAGAGAGGTGGTGGGGGGGGGGGAAGGAGGCAGTTTTGTCGCGTTTCGCTGTTGTATAAAGCACGCGTAGGCATGAAAGCGTGTTATTATGATTAGGTAATACATCTTACAACTATAATTCCTTGTAGAGGAAACACATACTTATTCACTGATTACTAATCTATTATATAATTACAATAACCCCACCGCACCACGTCCTCCGCCTCTCATCTCTGCCCCTGATGGGTCCACTGATGATGTCGTCCTGCTGCTGCTCGATTTAAGACTGGAAGCAGGTGGATGGCTTCACTATTCTGGCAAATCGCCCGATGATGCTGGTTGATGTAATTGCCAGCGAAACGCTGTACTACTCAAATTGCGAATGTTGTGGATTTACTCTCCAACACACCGGTGGGCTGAAGTAGTAAACAAATTGGCGCGTGTTGTTCACGTGACAAACCTTACTGGCTGCGTCGGGTGGTGGAGGGTTAACGACACATTTATACTTACGCGATCTAATCCAAAAAACTTTGTTACGAAGAAGCGATTTTTTTTTTGCATTGTACCAAGACGTCCCGGTTCTCAAATTGTAAATGTTGTGGGTTTACTTTCCAACACACCGGTGTGGTGTGCTAGTAACGAATTGGCACGTTTCGTTAACGCGACAAACCCTCCTACTAATTTGGCTGTGTCGGGTGGTGGCGGGTTTAACGACACACATTTACGCGATCTAACCCCAAAAGAAACACAAGGACGAGAAGGTTCCAGAAGACGGGGGGCTCTGAGGAGTATGAAAGTTGAGAGCACGAGAAGTGGCGACGCTGGGAGGAAGCTACGAGCTGACGACACGAACGAAGCCTAGGGTCCCGTATTGTCGCTGTGTGCAAGTAAAATGTGGCTCTCACTACTTCGTCAAAGTCGTTGTTACACATACGCAGCAGTGTGCCTCTCAACCTGTGCTTGACTCCTACTGTGTAGCCCCCCCTCCCACGTGTCCCCCAGGTGTTGAATTTGCTTCAACCGAGTAACCCCGCCACTTTGCCCGACCCAACATGGTTCTGAGAAAGAATAATTTTTGTTACCAAATTGTAAATGTTGTGAGGTTATTCTAATCTGGTTAAGTAACTACTGAGGCAATTTGTTAGCACTCTATTGGGAACCACATTGTTCACGATCAATGAGTTTAGAAATGTCGTTTATATCGTTAATAGATTACCACGTGGATTAAAAAAGATTTGTCAAGGCGCTCTCCTCCTCTAACCCAGCTTAAATATACGCTGCCAAGCTTGGTGGTGTTCATTCAGACGCTGTCTTTCCGACAGACCTGTTCTTC